ATTGCATGTTAAAGTGAAGGGGGCAAAAACTACGGTAACAATAGTGGTGCTCGACTCCTCAAGCTCAAACCTCTTTCAAACCTTTGAGAAACCACTAAACACCCAGCAGCATAGACCAACTGCACACAAAGCGAAGATTGTACGACTTGGTGTGACAAACTTTTCCGGAACTCGTGACATTGGACGAGTAGCAATCTAATTCGCCCAAGTTACCTTCAGTGGACGACACTGTGAAGAATACGCTGAAAACGATGCTCCAAGCATCGCTGAAACATCGAGGAAGCGAAGGAAAGCCTGGAACAAGTCACACCACCCGTCTACACAGCAGGCCACAAACTGCGTTCAAAAGATGACTTCGGTCTGTTATAATGCAGGCAGAAGTAACATCGTTTAATGAGTTGTCATAAATAAATTATTGTTGCCTACTTATGCCTTTCTAGACGTATTGGTTTTCCACGATCACTCCACCTTGTTCTCGTAATTTTTGCCTCTGTACATTGGATAGGAATGAGCGGTTAATGCGGTTAGGCTTTTTGAAAGATGTTGGCCAACAGCTCAGCTCAGCTGTGCACATCGGTGCTAACGTGGATTACGGTGACGCCAAAACCGCAAACTGCAAAATCCGTCTCGTGGGACCCTGCCTGTACACAACCGGACTTACGTGTCAAATTCTTTTGCAGTTGCATCATTAATTACGGATTTCACTGCCACACTTTGACGCGGCTTAATAAAGAATGATAGTTAACAAATTCATAAGCAAAATTCCTCAACTCCGATGGGAAATATTGGCAAAAATAAATCAGAGGCCTTAACCATTTTGGGGCTAATTCGGAAGCATTATTTTCAGGTGAAGTAAAACTACTGCAGAAAATGCATCATCCGATGATCATCGGCTACTATGACTATTTCATTTTCGAGAATCAACTCGCTATCGTTATGCAGTACGCCGAAGGAGGCACCATGGAACGGCTTGTGCACGACCAAAAAGGTTAGCTTGTATGAATTTAGTTCAATTCGAATTTTCCTAGATAGTGGCAGATGAAAAATCGTTCAACAGCCATCCTTGATCACATAGCTCTATCGAAGTAGTGTGAAAAAGCGAAACGGATGAGCCTTTTGCAAGTAGAACTCGTTTACTTATATGGTATTTCTAGGTGTAAACTTCCCCGAATCGCAAGTGCTCAACTACTTCACCCAGGTGAGAAATAACATTTTAATAATTGTGGTTCGTGATGGTTGAATAAACTGTCCACTCCTTTGACAAAAGTAAAAGCTGTTTCCTCCCATCTGCTGGACGGCATCTGCCTTGGTGGGCGGGACCGGGAGTGCTTTTGTGGCGAAGTGCATGGCCGGTGGGGGACCACGTGTAAGTTTTTGGAAACATTCGATATGAAACTCGATCACCTTCGACGCTTTCAATACATTTGAAGTTGGCTCCCCAACCCCGAAATTTGTGACAGTTTCACGGCGGGAATTCAAACTTCTTATGGCGTTTGGGTAAGTTTCAAAACCAACACTTGTTTGAGTTCTTTTTGATGTCCTCGTGAAGCAAGGGGGCTGAAGCATCAATTATCTGGTAAGGATAGAGGCAAGATTTTTCCGTGGACAGATCCTTAATCCGCTGCTTTTGGCCGCAGTTCGCCTTTGCAACGTTTCCATAGGAATGCTGGGTTGGGCGAAACTATTCGCCGCAGGCAAAAATCGTACCCGTACTTTACTTCCATGCGGGCTATTACAGTAACGAGGCATCACTTCACCTTGCATAACCGTTGACCGGCTCATCACTTGTACGTTTGAGCGGTGA